ACATCTCAGGGGACCGGAGGTTAGATGGGTGGATTCACTTCAGTGATTGAAATAGTCACAAAGTAGTGTGAGGAGAGCCATTAGCGTGAAATCGCTAATTAATCGCCACTTGTGTACGTGTGAATGATATCGCCGGAACCTTAAGGGGGAGGGGCGAGGGGGAGAAATCTGTTATCGACAAACAAGACGTCCTGTTGATTAGACCTTAATTTGACAATAAGTTGAAGCTTTACATTAAATTAAGCTATTAAATCTAGCTACTTAAGAGCTTGTGGAATTAAGAACACATTACTGTGAAAACCACAATATATAAGTACAGATCTCTGCGTTAACAATTCCACAGAATCATTCGAGGAAAATCAAATAAAAATTTACCCACAATTTCTCAAATACCATCGTTAGTTACATTGTATAACGCAACAGTGAGACATTACGACAATCAAAATCGATATTATATTACTTAATATTGTAACTTTATTACAGGTGTACAACAACATGCCATTTTATATGTTTAACCAAATATATCGATGAGAAGTGAAAAACGGATATTTCAATTACCTTCATGTCAGTTTTTAGAATCCGGCATTTTAATTGTACAATTAATATAATGACATGGGCGGTATACACCATGTTAACACGTGCCCACGCGGCATTATTATGTAATGACACAATGTTGATGTCTGTTGTCATTTCCTACCTGGAGTATATACCTGTGACTCTAGGTAAATAATTAATCTATTTTGATGAATCAATAATGGAGAATTCTGGTACCAACTGATTTTTGTTATAATTTCATTTTTTTTGATAAATGATCTGGTTTTGTATTTTTTTAAAGGTCCGTCAAGTACACACTGTGTAATTACTAAATAACTATACAAATATTTGTGTTATTTCGCAATGACAGACCTCTTGTCAACGTAAGGTTTTAGTGATAAATAACCAGACACGCCAACAAACGATACATGTACATTATATAAATTATTTTTACTTCGATGAATACATATTTCATTGTCGCAATACATAAGGTATGGATCATCGAGCTTACAAACATTTAAGATAGATTGAGATCGAAAAATAGAAAGGGAATATAAAAGTTTTACTTAATGTAAAATCTAAATACTACTGTGTTGTAATCTAAACTCTGTTGAGTTGTAATTCAAATATTGTGTTGTAATATAAATATTACTGTGATGTATTTAAACACTATAATTTTGTAATCTAATGCTTCTGAGTTGTAGCTGAAATACTATTGTGTGGTACAGTGTAATTTAAATACTATTTTATTTTAAACTTATCAACAAAATATTTTTGTGTTGTAATTTAAATAATATTGTGTTGTAATTTAAATAATATTGTGTTGTAATTTAAACAATATTGTGATGTAATTTAAACAATATTGTGATGTAATTTAAACAATATTGTGATGTAATTTAAACAATATTGTGATGTAATTTAAACAATATTGTGATGTAATTTAAACAATATTGTGATGTAATTTAAACAATATTGTGATGTAATTTAAACAATATTGTGATGTAATTTAAACAATATTGTGTTGTAATTTAAACAATATTGTGATGTAATTTAAACAATATTGTGATGTAATTTAAACAATATTGTGTTGTAATTTAAACAATATTGTGATGTAATTTAAACAATATTGTGATGTAATTTAAACAATATTGTGTTGTAATTTAAACAATATTGTGTTGTAATTTAAACAATATTGTGATGTAATTTAAACAATACTGTGTTGGAAAACTTTATATCCTCTGACCATTTTGAATTAATGTTCATTTCTAGTTTTTTCGCTAAATCACTGCAAATAAATTAATCCAAGTAAACGCCAGAATTTACTTTATACAAAATTTCTTATCGTTGGACTACATGGTGTAATTAATAGCATAAATGATTAAACAATCTCTACACCTGACTGTAAAAACACAACTCTACACACGACTGGATAGAAAACAAACAACACTCAACTTGACTGGATAAATTATAAACAACTCAACACACGACTGGATAAAGAGTAATCTACACACAACTTGACTGGATAAATTATAAACAACTCTACACACGACTGGATAAAGAGTAATCTACACTAAACTTGACTGGATAAATTATAAACAACTCTACACACGACTGGATAAAGAGTAATCTACACTCAACTTGACTGGATAAATTATAAACAACTCTACACACGACTGGATAGAAAACAAACAACACTCAACTTGACTGGATAAATTATAAACAACTCAACACACGACTGGATAAAGAATAATCTACACTCAACTTGACTGGATAAATTATAAACAACTCTACACACGACTGGATAAAGAGTAATCTACACTCAACTTGACTGGATAAATTATAAACAACTCTACACACGACTGGATAAAGAGTAATCTACACACAACTTGACTGGATAAATTATAAACAACTCTACACACGACTGGATAAAGAGTAATCAACACACAACTTGACTGGATAAATTATAAACAACTCTACACACGACTGGATAAAGAATAATCTACACTCAACTAGACTGGATAAATTATAAACAACTCTACACACGACTGGATAAAGAGTAATCTACACTCAACTTGACTGGATAAATTATAAACAACTCTACACACGACTGGATAAAGATTAATCTACACTCAACTTGACTGGATAAATTATAAACAACTCTACACACGACTGGATAAAGAGTAATCTACATTCAACTTGACTGGATAAATTATAAACAACTCTACACACGACCGGATAAAGAGTAATCTACACTAAACTTGACTGGATAAATTATAAACAACTCTACACACGACCGGATAGAAAACAAACAACACTAAACTGGATAAAGAGAAAAAAACATAACACAAAACCTGACGGGATAAATAACAAAGCACTTTCCAGAATTGACTCGGTAAAAAGATGACAGCCCTAGACGTTATTGGATAAGGATGGTATAAAACATATTCCCGTATTTTCATTGTTTTTTTTTACTTTCTTTTTGTTTGTTCGGTAACACATACGCTTCTAACTTGACTATTATTAGTGGTCGGGTGGCGCAGTGGTGACGTACTCACATTTCATAGGCGTTTAAAGCTTGTTTCGCAAAGGTTGTAAAAATAAAGAAAGTTTAAATTTGATAACTTGAAGATAACCTGATAATTCTGTCTATAGTATTGTGAATAAATATGCCATGAAATGGAATGCAAATGAGACGAATACCTTTCACATTTCGTCAGTTAATCCCGCTAGTTTGTCATATGATAAATGAATTTTATTTGCTGTTATCATGACTAAGAGAAGAGGATGACACGTGAACTTGTCGGCGTAGGAGGAATAGGGAGGATTTTGTCACCAACAGTGATATCTGGGGATAATCATCGGTGTTCTACTCTAGCATGTAACATCATCCAAATACAGATTTGAAAAGACTTAAATAATTTGTAAACATAGTAAAATGAAAATATGTTTTATTACTGAAGTAGTATAAGTAATTTCTATTTATCTGGAGAGATACTATTGATTTAAAAATAATGTCCTTCCATGATATGTGTAGTTAGGTATGTATATACTTATGTTATCTACTCCACTTTCTATCACTGCCTGAAATGTTGCCAAGTTAGATGGACAAGTGTAAAATTTGTTGGGTACCATAAATCGGAACTAAACACCAAGCGGAATATTTCTCGCGGGAAAGCAGACCTGACATCCGAAACTGATGGTAATGTACACCTCGTAGTATACACTTGTAGTCTAATTAAAACATTCGTGTATCATATAAAGTTTTATTAATTAATAATTAAATTAACGACTTGTCATATATTCTAAATTTTGTCCCGATAATACCATATAAATAAAATAATCGTGTCGATATTTAATCTATTTAATTCTAATACCGTCAGTGACATATCTTTATGATTATTTGGGTCAGTGAATTCGATCATCAACTTGTGAATGATAATAATGATTAGAATGCTATCAAATAAGAAACAATATCTGATGTATACATTAATATGCATGGATTTGTTAACAGTACACCTCTTTGATACAAGCTTAAGTTTAATTACATAGTTGGTGTCAGAGTCACATTACAATGTGATGTATCTTTACTACGTACTATGCGTGTACTCTAGATATATTCTACTTAACAGATGATTTAATACTCTCATTATAATAAGATAAGACTTTATGGAGACTATTGCGAACAAATATGCTATATAACCTGATACTTTGTATGTACGTGTATGTAAGGTACAAATGTATTGTCTATTATGTAATCGTGGTGATATGTTCGGAATGTTTGTATTACACGTTTCATTTCTTTTGTACTCTTCCTTTTGGAGGTAATGAGGAGAATACTGATAAACTGTTTTGGATAAGATTATAAACACTGACGTGAAAACAGTGTACGTGATCGAGCGGCGCAATGGTAAAGCACTCGTCTATCACCTAACCGTCCGGTTCGATTCCCGCAAAAGAAGTGCGTTTTCCACCGAGTGCTGATGTATCCTACCTAAGTAAGACCGCGAGCTTCCTACCAGGCCATTAAGAGTGATTAATAAAAACAGATTGCTTGTTACGCATTTTTTTTTTAATCTAATCAAATGTTTAAGGAAAATTAAAAGTTATATCGGTTTGCGGGAATTGTTGACCCGTGGGGATGGGTTGGGTCATTATACATACATATGTATGATGTAATGAACCTGTCAATTAATAATAGTTGGAAAACTTTCATCCACAACGTAACAGAAAAACGAATGTGAAACAATTGCATGTTTGGGCGGATGCTCGGAACAGATGAAGAATGCGGAAGTGTAAGTAAAAAAAATACGCCTACCTATTCACGGATAAAAATAATAGATATTTAAACTGGTATGAAATGTAACATCTTTTGGAAAAATGAAGGTAGAATTGACAGGTTATTCAAATTCATACTAATATATTGACGTGTCTATCTCAATAAACACTAAGACAATTATATTACCTGTTCAATGTCCAGCGTATCCAATTTGGTGTTGGTCTGGTGTGTTATCGTCCGAGGGTAGAGGGTACACACCGTCCATAGCGAAACAGCAGTCGCTGGAAAACCGCTCCCTACCACCATCGTCTTCCGGTTCCACCACCTCCTCACTTCCGGCACTGAGGAAACTCGAGTTAAGTTCATTAGCATTACGTCTGTCCCCTAATGGCGATGAATATACGGATGAGCGGACAAGACTCTTAGCAACACTTGACAGTCGATGAAACCTGGAATCCAGTTTATTAACCGTGTGTTTGTCGTATATAGGTGTGAACTTAGGTGTGATGGGTCCCGGTGTTACCCCTGGGGTCGGGCAGATAGGCGTTTCGTAGCACGAGGGCAGAGACATTATCCGGGAAGCCGGAGTCTGTGGACCATTTGTAATCCAATATGGCGAACCAGGAAAGTAGGCCGGGTACATGACCGGATTGGTGTTCAGAGTTTCCATGGAGCTATTTGTTCCGGGAGTCGGACAGTGTTGCGGGGTACACGTTCCGAGGGCAGCTAGGTAGGCTGCATTTGGCCCAGGGACCCCGGGGGTACCAATAGGAAAGTGATCACGTTTTACAGGTGTTGGGGCTGACTTTAACATGGATTCCAAAGCTCGGATGTATCCAATTGCCACACGCAGTGTACGAATCTTTGACAGTTTCTTATTGTACAATTTGAATTCGTCCGGTAGACAGTCTTTGAGTTGTTGAAGTGCCGAGCTCATTTTCTGCATACGATGTCGTTCCTGGATATTGGCCGTCCGCCTCTTGGTTTCTTCACTCACCATACACCTTTGATGAGAAGTTCGGAGCTGACGTGCTTTCTTCCTCATGTATCGGGTAGCCGTGTTCTCTGTCTTTTCCTGTGAGTCCGAGTTTGGTTCCTCTTTGACACCTATACACTCTATCGTTAAGTCAATAGGCTCGTCATCGTTACTTTCATCTGATAAATCGTCTTTCTCTAACGGAATTTTTACATTCTCAATGTCCCTTTTTACTTCCTGACTCACACGCTCCATCTCCATTTTGGTAAACTCTTCAAAAGTTTCAGATTTTGACCAATGCTACTGAGAGATGCTTCACTGTCTGTCTAGGATGGTCAAGTGGCAGCGATTGGCCGAAATCTGGGGATTTAGTGACCTTCGGATAGCCCCTGTCTATTGTTTTGTGTGAGGTAATTCTACAGCCATAAATTTTAAGTAGCAACTTCTCGTCAGCGATCTCGCGGTTGGGGGGGGGTCTGTGCCGTGCGCGCTCTGACCATTGCCTTACGGCTCAAATATGAGTTTAATTAGCGATCCTCAACGGTCGCATCCCAACGTTAAAATGAAGTAAGTTATAGGCCAGATAACATTTCCTTTCTACGTAGTTATTTGTCAATTAAAGTGAATATAATACATTTCACATCGATTTACACTCATTAAGGCCTCAGACAAGGTCGACCTTCGTCGTTATTTGTCTTTGATTTTTATGGTAAGAGTTTAACTTAACATTAATTATACGCTGATCGTGTCCATTTGCACGGTTTGTTTCCTTAGAATGGAAATCTTATATTCGGAGTAACGACTTGTAAAGTACATGATATTATAATTGTTAAAATTAGATACATTTCAATTTTTACGAAACTAAAATAATTGCATCATCCGGACTGACTGAACTTTGATAAGATGCTATGACACGAGCGTGAAGTAAGTGCCAGGCAGTCCTACTTACATTTAGATACACATGTCTATGATAATACTGCATAAACGGTTTTTTTGGAGGTCAACAATGTCGAGGTCATTCATTTAAAACGGAAGAATTCGATTTCAATAAATTAGAATTTCGCGATCTGGTCTGGAGAGGATATTCTACATTTTTTTTTTTTTCATTTTCGCGATGATTGCTCCCGAAGTCAAATCACAAACTGTTTAACGCATCAATGTTGATATAAAACTCGATATTTCACAACTCGTCACAAGAAATTAAGATCGATCACGTGTGACGTTTCCACGTGAATGCTGACCCGTTGTAAACATCTCAAAACATGTACCACATCATTGTGTGATAAAAGATTTAAAGTTATGCCTTTTTTCTTTTGTTTTTCTATATTTCTCTTTCCGTTTTTCTTTGAAGTCTCCTTATTACTTTACAAATTACAAACATTAGACTATCAGCCCATAACGTAACCGTAGAAAAATGCCGATACCAAAATGTACGGAGAAAATTCAGCGTTTGTACCGTTGGTATTTAGATAATGTTGAAGATGAGGTTCGTTGCGAAATGAAAGATAAAAAAACGTTATTTTTAAAAACCGAGTTTGTTTAAAACGATAGGTTTATTTAATGTTAAGAACCTCAAACGAAATAGAAAAAATATCAACTACATAAAATCAGCTAATGTTACGAGAAACCAATTAATCTGATTGGTTACTTTCTCCGGGTATATTTTGTATTAAGTATTGTATAAAGTAATCAATAGTATTGATTATGTACATGTATGAATGTATTGTAACTACTATTAAACTGATGTTTTTTGTTCTAAACCGACGAGTCGATAGAATCAGGATGATTAAAGAAAGTTGACTGTATAATAAAGGTGATAACTTGTGTCCAATACATAGATCTTGGAAGTACATAGGACTTATTAAACAGATCTAAACCGAGATCTCAGCATAATGGTATTTTGATTTGATTTAAACTTATTGTATTGCACATAAGTAGAAATAGGATTGGGCACAAGTTTTACAACTTATATAAAGCCCTTTCCAAATATATTAATACACGCATATTATATTTATAAGGTGACAGTATGATATAATAACAAACAATAATGAACAAGTTTAGAGAGAGAGAGAGAGAGAGAGAGAGAGAGAGAGAGAGAGAGAGAGAGAGAGAGAGAGAGAGAGAGAGAGAGAGAGAGAGAGAGAGAGAGAGAGAGAGAGAGAGATAGAGAGAGAGAGAGAGAGAGAGAGAGTACCCTAGATGTAAGACATGCGAGGAATTTCATGTGATTTTAGACCAACGTTTCGAGGAAAGTTCGGTTTGTGAGGAATATTTTCGTTTTCCACATTTCAGACACACGTATGTCTAGCGCAAAGGGAAATTACTCTGTAAAGCCAATGCGTACGGCAGCGAAATGGCTACTTACCGAGTTACATGTACTGCCCTATTTTTTCATTTCAGTCGACAACCGCCACAGTATTGCGCATGCCGTCGATGTAATATTTTGAAACGTGCATCCATCTCGTTCATAAAGAATTTTATGTAGAAAACATAAGTATTAATTTTAAGACACAAAATAATTATTGGCTGATATGCCTTCTGCATTTCTCATGGTGCATCGGCATATACCAAAAATTGGCAATTTGATCTACTAACATCGGGTTTGAAACTTTGTAAACTGTGCGCATGCTTGCACTACAAAAGCATCCCAGCTTGAGTATTTTTCTAGTATCTGCATGGGCAGGTTTTCTAAAGTAAGAAATTCTTTGTTTCTTCGTGTGCGTAATAGGCCGATTTCCAATTCTAATAGTCGATACGGAGACAGCGGCGATTTTGTGGGCAAATTGCGGGGAAAATATGGACAATCCAATGTAAATGTAAGCATGTTTAGTTAATCTTGTATATATGCTTTCGTATTATGTAAAATGTAGAAAAAAAAGAAAGAAAATATTTGGGATCGCAATGTCTAGAGAAATGTTTAATTTTAAAGTGAATTAGGCTTAATGACGCAGATAAAATTGATAACAAATACATAATATTATGACGTCTACCAGAATTTGAAGACATAAACTTGTAAGGTGGTTTAGATTGTTACAGAAGTGAAACTGGACCTTAATAGCATTTAGACATCAGAAATGTAAAGAAACAATATGAATTCAAACAAAAGCAGTAGTAAAATGATTCTAGGTGGCGGGAATTGTGCTATGATATAATATAATTTTTGAGGTGTAAAGGTTACAGGACCTGCATTTTGATCTGCGAAATCCCAAGTTCAAATCCTTCTGCCTGATTCTACGCTAACTTATATAGATTCTATTATGGTTGTGTAAAGGACTTCGTACTAATTCGTTTGTTTTCATTATATATAGCCTTGCTTTTTATCGCATACGATACCTTTGACCTTTTGACCTGAAAAACAATCCCAAGAAAGCCTGTACCACTGCCTGAAGTTTGAAGTCAAAGGGAACTCAAGTTATTGCGAAAAAAACTTATGCGCGGACATCGCCGCCGCCGACAACATGATACCTATATGGCGAAACAAAAACTAGCATTCTGAATTTTTCAAACAGCAAATATGGAAGGAGTCCATTAGAATCATAAAAAATGACTGGCTTTAAAAAATTCACCCCCCCCCCCCCCCCCCCGCCCTCCTAAAAACACACACGAGAACTCCATGAAATTAACTGAAGTTGCTTCTGAACTCATCTCGCCCAAGCTGACGATGGGATATCGTTCAAAATGTCCTGTAGAATCGTGTTCGAACTTTGACCTGAAGTTGAACTATTCCTCCTCTCCGCCCATTGTGGCCGTTTAAGTCCTTCATTGGGGACCACTCTCTCGTGAAAGGATGCCTTTTCAGTCGTCTCGGGGTAATAAAGTTGTACACATCTTTCTATCGTCGATTTTCGGTCCCTATCCAGCTCTTTCTTCCCTCTTACGCCATACCAATTATATTCTGAGGCAATAAGAAATTCCTTTTGTGTACATGTAACAGTCCCAGATTTCACAGATTAAACAACAATCTTTCTGGATTCTGTCAGTATTTATTAAGCAAGTTCGAAACTCAAACCATCACGTCTGATGTGGTGGCTAGCTACATCTTGATACTTGAAGTATGAAGCTATAATAATCAACAATCTATATGGATCTCTGATCAAATTCAGGTAAGCTATAATGTGTAGGTCTGTATGCGACGACGATCTCTAAGAAAGTGTGTAGATTTGAATTTCGTGAATACACAGTGTCTGAACGGAAGTGTACGCGTAAACCTAGTCAATGTTTTACGAAGCGAGACTAGGTCGAGGTACGCACGCAAGGTAAGTCCCCGTGTGTTATATCTCGTTCGCTTTAAACTAATGGAGAAATATTCGTCTATATATCAAATCTTAAGTATGTAATACGCAAATGATGTGTACGTTCACTCATTGAAGAATCTAAATGTAAGAGAAAATCGTTGTCAAACACCTTGAATCGACAGAAAGGGCGAGTTGGTTAACTTTTGTTTCTCGAAAAAACATAGTTTGTTTCAGTATATCTGCTAGATTACCACTGTTTATTAGTGGCAGAACATTCAATATTTACTTATATGTATAGACTGTGTTTTCAGAGGTTATATTTTTGCTAAAAAGTGACATTTTCATTCACACTGTTTAAATTGGAAACTGTACCGGTAGTATATTTCAATTATTTGTTTTATGTACGGGTAGCAACGTTTTTTTCGTTCACTTGGTCCCCTGATTGTCGATTCTTTCAAAGTTTTAATTTCACCGTAAGGACCTGCACGATGTGAAAAATTTTGTAACCATCCTTCGAAATAGATTTATATCGCCCATTGACTGATTTTGGACCCCGGCATTGATTTTCTTTCCGTCGACGCACAGTTTATATGTTTGTCTTTGGGCAACATCATCAGCATTAACCAAGTCTATCATTTCCTGTATGATTCTTGGTTTAATATTCTTGAGCACTTCCGGTGTGTTTTTGGCATCGATTTGATTTCTGTGAGGAACTGCAAAGTTTACATTTGATGCCTGTGGGTCAAGTCTTCCTTGAGGTTCTTGGCCTTGGTTTTTCCATCCGCCCATGAAACGTAGAAACTTGCCTTTAAAGAGTTTCATACCAACGCGCCAAAACTGTTTAACATCTTCAGAATATCGCATATGGTGGCTGTCAGTTTTGGAAAACCACTGAACTATGTCCAAGAACAACAGGTAAGCTACATTACTCATCGGGAGTTTTTTGTCACGAAGTAACTTGTTGAATTTTAAATATGCATGTTGATGCCCGTGTTCCTCTAATGTTTCCAAGACCATTGGGAGTAT